CCCCAAAACCCCAAAACCCCAAAACCCCAAAACCCCTTAATCTAACACTAAATTGAACAATTGTTTTAAATATATTGATTGATTATTTGTATACAAGAAAATATGTAAGCCCACTACGAAAAGATCAGCTCCCTATTTCAATAGGAGCCTCAGCGAGAATGTATCAGCGACCCTATAGGTTGATACACTTCTCCGAAAGATGCTTGGGAAGGATAGACTTCCCATAATTCATAAAAATAGTATCGTCCTAAACTTTCGGTGAATTCAGAAATTGTGAAGATTGATTAAAACGATGATGTGTTATCTTATTTGATATCCCCAATTCCATTCTTTAGAAATTTTCTTTGAATAGAGGAAAATCTTAGGATTAATTTAAAGCCACGCCCTCTCATGAAATAATTCATCATAACTTTTATAGATGAACGAAGGTAAAGATTCAAATATTAGAAGAAGCTCCAGGATATCTACGAAAAAAAGAAGACCAATAAATTACAAAGAAATAGAGGATGGAAAGGATTTCAGTCAAGATAACGATTCTGTTGAACAAGCAGCTAAGAGGAGTTATGAAGAACATGCGGTCACCAGCCTAGCAAAAAGAGAAGGAAAGCTTTGTCATCCCAAAAAGTCCCTTACAGCTTACACTCTCTTTGTCAAGGTTCAGCGGAAAAAGCTCCAAGATGAAGATCCGAGTAAAACGACTCCCGAATTAATGAAAGAAATTGGAAGACTTTGGAAAAGTATCGCAGATAGCGAAAAGTCTTGGTATCAATCTATGGCTTCTAAAGACAAAGAAAGATATAAGAGAGAAATGGAGGAAATGCAACATCTAAAAGAAAAGCATAAGATGAATGATAATGAACTCAAAAGACCAAAGAAATGCCTCTCCAGTTACATGATATTTGTCAGAGAAGTCAGGACCCGAGTTACCCAAGAATTCCCTGATATGAATGCTCTTGATGTTATGAAAGAAGTCGGAAGAAGATGGCAAAGTATCATTCCTGAAGACAAGAATTATTACCAAGGACTAGCTGGCAAGGACAAAGAAAGATTCAAGAGAGAAAATCAACAATATCTCAAAGAGCTTGATCAATTAGACATGAAACTAAAGTCTCTAGAGCACAAAACTGAGAAGGATTCAGAGAGAAGTTTTCAGAAATTATCAGCTACTCATACAAGTGGTAAGTTTTGCTTTATCAGAAATAGGAGGGAAAAGAAGCCGAAATGATAAGAAAGCACTTGAAGAGTGTAACAGTGGGTTCCAATACTTCAGTCAAGAGGCAAGAGAGATGATAAGAAAGAAAAATCCTTCCCTTACTCAAGCTAATATCATGAAACAAGTTACAATGCAATGGAATCAGCTGAGTAATGAAGAAAAGGAAGCTTATGACAGACCTTCATTCAGTGAAAATAAAACAGCTAAAGGAAAATAAGAGAGTAAAGACTTCAGAAGGGAATGAAATGAAGATTCAGATTTACAATGAAGAGCATGACTCTTTCAAAGATCACAGAAGTTTAGGAAATGATAAAGGAGAGTTTCAGAGTAGCAAAGAACAAGTAGCTTTTGGAGAGAAAGAAAAATGCTTCCAACAGAGCAATATTGAAACAAGAAAGAATGAATACTTTCAAAATAAGAATAACTCGCCTAATCTAGATAGCTCTATTAAATTTAATTTACCAGAGTCACGGCCAATGAGTTTTAATCAACCTTCTCCTAACCCAATGCCAATAAGGAAGGATATGGGTTTTGTCAATAATATGGGGCCTTACCAAGATATGACTAATGGCTCTACTGAATATTCTCAGTCTAATGCTTATAGTAATATGAACAGAAATGCAATGTTTTCTCCTATGCCTTACATGCCTAATAGAAGTCCTGGAGTGAGCCCTAATATAGCCCCCATGTATAGTCCCATGATGGCCAGAAATGATAACATGAGAGACTATTCAAATAGAAATCTTTCAAATATGCAGAGAAATCCTACTGTAATGGGACAAAGTTTATCAACACCAGTTAATAAAGGAGATATTGGATGCCCTGATTTCTACCAAATGAGTGCTTCCCCTTCAGGATATACTCCAATGAGAACCAATCTAGCCAGATTCAACCCTGGGATGTCTCCTCTCCGCCAGCCAGACACCTCTGCAATCTTCGGGCCTAGTCCAAATATGATGCCAAATTTATCATTTCAGGCTTACCAAATGGGCAACACTCCCATCAACCATTACGGGAACAACAAGCAGATGTTCGCTCCTCCAAAGCCGTTCAACCCAATGATGCCCCAGGGGAACGACGGGCAAAGAAAAATGAATCCAGATGACAGCAAACTATTCGAGTTAAATCCCTTCGGAGGCTAGTACTCTAGGTTCTCTATTTCTATACCAAGTTTAAATACTCAATTATCTTTCTTAATCAATATTATATTGGAATTATGGGGTTTTGGGGTTTTGGGGTTTTGGGGTTTTGGGGTTTTGGGG